GAAGTATTTGTACTTCGTTACTTCCCATCTCTGGAAATTATATAACATTAAGTAAATACTACAAAGGAATATCTGAGTAAACTACATAAAGCGGTCTGACATGCCGTTGTTTCTGGGCTGCATAAAAAAATTGAGAGTATACCCACTTCTCCAGGAACCACTGCGCTACTGCCGCTAGCAATGTGCGTTTGGCTCCCTTCCCACTGGCAATAAAAGCTGCTCTAACCCCTCGCTGGAAGCTGCATGGCCTCTGTCCCCCCGCAGCTGCGTGTCTGGTAACACCATCATGCTGGGTTCCCATGGATGATGTCATCAGTGCAACAGAAATCAGGAAAGTAAACAATGGAGACCAAGATCGAAGGAAGCAAGGGCATAGTCAGTATGCTTTATTGTTTTGCTCTATTATCTGTCTGAATCTCTCTCACCAGAGCTGCTCCATGTTTATGTAAACAGAGTTGTTTCTGCTTGTTAGATCAGAAGCGACTGGCGCGGTGTGTTGACGTCCATTTGTTGAGGACGTTAATTACGTTAATGGTGTCACGTAATTTAGTGGTGTTCCAACAGCATGCCGATCAGAGACGAGGCGATTTTAGCACAAGTCGCTTGCGGAGTCGTTTGACCCGGCCCGGGGTATAAAACAGGTTTTTCAGCCAGTGGGAAAGTATGAGTGTACTCCTCCTTATATGGACTCATCACAAATATATCTAAGGAATCTATCTGTAACATATTCAATTATTGGTGCAACGACTGTGAACTGGCTATAGATTAGCTTAGCAGAAGGCTTGAAAGATTATCCAGCAGCTCAGGAAGTAAATCCTTCTCCCGGAGCCGCTGATCAGCTCTTATTCTGCTTTTATGACCTCCACTAAGGGGGTTGCGGTATGTTTTTAGAGGAGTCTGTCTGTCTGTTTTTACGGGATAACTTGAAAAGTTAAAGGTGTCCCTCTGTCCAAGGAACCAACTACAAGGTTTTGGTGATGATGGGAATCACCACCTGGATCCAAATATTCAGCGAATACAGATAAAAACCAAAGGAGGACGTCACAATATGTTGGGAAATTATGAAAATGGCGGAGGCCTGCGCTCTCCGAGTGCATACATGTTCTGAATGCTGGCGTACCATAAAGAATAAATGATGAACAGTTTAGTTTGTGCCTTCAAGTCGTTGCCCATAGGAAGACGTTACTTGGATATAACCTAACGGAATATCTTCAGAACGGCTCCAAATGACACTAAACTCGTATGGGTGAGTAGAACATGATGGAATAACGGAAAATCAGGGGTCCAATGTAAAAAAAACGGCGTTCCCCCTTAAGAGGTTAAAGTAATGGATTATAATTAAAAATGTCTCCGGACTTTCCTGGTTGATGATTTTCTTTATTTGGACCCTGCTGATTTTTAATCGGTTACCCCTGGTCTATACATTTGCTGTTTAATGATGGTGATTGAGGCTTTAAAGTTTGTAAAAAAATGTTTTTCAGCATTTTGTGAGATTACTTCAATGGAAGAATGTATAAAAACTAGAAGGACGGCCAATATCCCATTTGATCAGAAATGTGGACAGAAAGAGGGGTTATTTTTAACAAAGTTGACTTCTGCCTGTTTCCAGACCTGTTTCAGTCTCCTGACTTCAAGCTCCATCTCAGTCTCTCTGTTCTTGGCGTTATATTCAGACAGGCCTTTGCCTTTCCCAGGATGCTCCATTTCCAGCTTGAATAACTGCAGATGCTCCAGCTCCCGCCGAAGATCATCGATCAACTGCAAATAAAAGGACACAAAAGGTTTCCTTTTATTGATCCAGTTTATTTCTTTAACTGAATCAAATTAAAAACTATAACCAATAAAACATCCGTTGTTATAGGAACTGCTAATCCACCTCTTTTGCTCTAGATACTCCGGGTCCTTAGATTATCTGTTATAAATGCTAGAGATCTCACATTCTCCGTTACAAAAGATGGTTTAACCTCCTCTCTATCCCTATTTGGGTTCCACATTTATTTAATCGAGCTTATAAGAAATCAATCAGTTGATCCCGGTTTATTTAAAATCCACACTGTGGTGATTACACAACTTTCCAAGCATAAAAGTTTAGCAGAATACCGTAATGCAATGCAAGAGAAGAGAATCACAGGACATGTAAAGGAGCTGCATCAATAATCTGTAACACTTTTCATTGCAGGTGAGCACTGAAAACGCAGACCTCACCTCCTGCATGGCCTCCTTTTCTTTCTGAAACTCGTGGCGGTTGTGCCACAGCTTATCCATTATCTTTCTGTACAGGTCCACCTCATCTTTCAGCCTTAGACTAGTGTCCTCCAGTTTGTCCGTCATCCTTTGCTTTTCCTGCAGAGAAAAACTAATCTGTTAGTGAGTGAGTCAAGTCTCAGGTCTTCAGGTAAAAGTCGAGTCTGAAGAACTTCTAACTTCAACCCTTCAACAAGTCATTTTTTCTTAAAATCAGTGCATTTTTCTTGAATTGACGAGATAAGTGTGAAACTTTGATAAAGGAACAAGACAATGTACTTTTAAAATAAGAAAAAACAATTGCATTGTTATATTTCAAATGCATATTATCAAATTATCTTATTTTAAGAGTAGAAATATTCATTCCATTGGTAAATCATCTTATTAACCTGCTCAAATTAAGGGTAAATACACTTAATATAAGAAATGTTGACTTATTTCTAGAACATTTTTGCAGAGCAAAAGTCTTGAATTTCAGAGGTTCATTCGGTTCATCCAGTGGCTTTAGTGTCCCTTCTGATCTGAGGTAGCGACCCTCGGTTCGACTCACCTGGTCCAGTTTCTCAGACTGAGACTTGAGGCGGCTCACGTTTATCGTCATCTCTCCATTCTCTTCTTCTAACTGCTGGACCCTGCAGACAGGTTGGATCTGAGCAAGTTATGTTCCCAACAGTCGGCCTCAACTGAAACATTTTGGCTGGTCGGCTAAAAGCTTGACATGATGGGTGCTTATTATTGGTTCTGGTTAGGAACATGGACAAAATATCTAGGTGATTTTAAAATATAGCATCCGCTAGCTAGTGTAAGGAGGGCCTTTCTCAGAGATGGCAAATGAACTGCAAGCAGATCCAAAGT